TTTTTGTCTTTTTTCCGTGTCCGGCAACGGATTGCAACCCTCAGTGTTGCCCCCGTACCGGGCCGGGGACCGGCAACGGGATTGCAACCCTCAGCGTCGCCCCCATGCCTCGCTCAGCCAGTGAGCGGGAACCGGTCTGTATGTGGGATCCGAACCCTCGGGCGGGAGCGCCGCCACGCTTCCCAAGCGGCGCACTATCCAGTGCGCCACCGGGCCGGCCCCGAGTCCTCAATATTTCTGATATTTTAAATTATGCATACTAAATAAATACTAGTTTTACTTTTCTCCCCTCGTGTTTCTTTTCTATATAGTTCCTTGTACAGTTATGCCAGTAACAGAGTTTTTAACATTTTAACAAAAATTTTAAAGATTGTAAACAATTGTAATTTTTCTTATTGATTAAGCTTGCTTTGAAGTGTTTTACAGTCTCACACTGTAGTCCTGCATGGCAAGGACTTCCTGTATATGCCTATTTATAAAGTGTAACTATGTGTGCTCTCTTAGAGAAGAGTGAATACAGGAAACCGTGAGTAAGCCAAACAGTTACAGAAGTAGGTAGTGCTTTTAGAACAGTAGAGAGAAAGTTTGTTCTAAGATAGAAGAACCAACCATTGTAAGGAGGAAACTAACTTCACAGACTTGATTCTCATTTCTTAGGAAATGAAATCTCCAGATGGGTCAACTAATTACAAAAAGAGAAGGTGTATATAACATTAAAAAATCTTTTTGTTGTGGAAAAATTTAAATGTAGCACAAAAGTAGAAAGAATTCCATAATGATCACCCAATACCCAGCTTGAACAATAATCAGCGTTTTGCCAGTCGTGTTAATTCATTCTCCCTTCCTCCCTTTTTGCTGGAGTTTTACAAAGCAAATCCCAGAAATTGTATTCTTTTACCAGTAAATACTTCAGTGTACATCTCTAACAGGAAATGTTATTTCTAGAGAATATAAATACAGTGTGGTGGTCTTATGTGATAAATAATGATTTCTGAATATCATCTAGTGCTGATTATATTCAGATATATATTCCATATTTGAGTTTCCCAAACTGTTTCAAAAATGTCTTTTTACATATGGTTCTGTTCAAATCAGAATCCATACAGAGTGCAATACGTTGCTTAACTAATGTCTCTTGTAATTGACAATTCTCCACTCTTATTTTTCCCCATGTCACTTATTTATTGAAGGAAACTGATCATTTCCCATAAAATTTCCCACATTGTCATTGTTTCCTCTGGTGTCATTTCACTTGCTCTGTTTCCTGTATTTCCTGCAAGCTGGTAGTTAAACTTAGAAGCTCAATTCCATTCAGGTTTTTTTTTCCCTTTTCCTTTTTTTCGGGTGACAAGAAGATTGCATAGGGATGTTGTGGTCTTCCTAGTGCATCACATTAGGGGGTACACATGGTCCAGTTGACCCACTTTTAATAGGGGGTACACATGGTCCAGTTGACCCACTTTTAATGAATCTTGACTCCTATAAACATTAACATAATTGCTTATTATATCCTACCATGCACATATAATGATTTTAGAATAACTATATGATACACTAACAATAAGACTACTGAATGCAGTTTAAGAAAATTATGTGATTCTTTTTACCATTAATATGTATATAGCCCACCAACTACTTTCAGTAAAAATAATACTTTTTCATTACCTAAAATAATTCTTTTTTTGTGTTGATGGTCATCTGTTTTTCTCTTTGACATAATTATGCTTTTTCAATTATGTGTAACCTTACACAGCAGCAAAATCCAAAACAATAAAATGAGAAGTATTAAGAAAAGTATTGTTTCCATTCCTGCCTCTGTATCCTCCCTATTCCATCCTTCCCTCTAGAAAACCAATTTTAGTAGTTTTTTGTGTATTCTTCCATTGTTTCTTTTTGAAAAATATGAGCGAATATACAGTGTTCTCCCTTGTGACTTCTTTCACAGACCTAGAAGACTATATCCAGCCTTCTGCATCTTGCTTTTTTCATTCAGTATGTCCAGGAGATTGCTCCCTTATATAGCTTTTTAGATGCTGCTATCACAGGGGAGCATTTTGTGACAAAAAACTACAATCAGATGAAAGATGTGAACTTGAAAAGTCTTACTGATATAACAAAAAAAGTTTAACTATGGAAAAGAAACTGAACATTAAGACTCCAGGGGCTGGGATTTTTATTATTTGGGAAAGGCAAATGGGTTCTGTGCTACAAACAAGAATTAATTGGTTCATAACCAGATCTTGTATTCTTGTTGCTCCACAAAGGTATTCCTTATTCTTTGAAAGTGGGTACAGTATTGTTTCCTGGGAAGGCATTAAAATAATTATTACTGTAATCTGGAGGGAGTAAAAATAATGAAGCGTAGAAGTAATGAAGATATGAACTAGATTCATG